TCAAAACTTTTCATGGAATTGCCTAAGATGAGTTGGTTTCAAGTTCTAACCTCAGCCATGTCCTAGCTTCACAAAATAGGGGGTGGGGAGAAAGCGAGGGGAGAAGATGGCCACGGGATCCAAGCTCCGTTGGAAGGATTAAACCTCACCATGGAAGTGGAAGCTCTTTGCAAGCTGTTCCTTCCTTACCAAGTGCTAAACAAAACTAGCTACCAAGCTACAGGAGTTGATTAAAACGTGGAGATCACCAACAACTTAGATAAATTGCACGTGGTAATACCAGGACCTCTGATTTGGGAGACTACCGCCCCAGGAAAGCCTTTTCTCAAACCAGGCCGGGGTTTCGGGGCCTCATTTCCCGCAGCCCCCAAGCGCCAAAGGCTCCTCCTGTAAGTCCCTGGCACGTGTAACTCGCGGCGGGCGCAGACCCACGGAGACCTAGATCTCCCCATCCTGAACACCACAAATGGGGAAGTGGCGTAGAGCAGACTGATTCGAATCCTGGGTTCCACACCATCCTTAGCGATTCTCCCCTTCCCCCGCCAAAAAGGAGCCAAGTTTTCTCACCCCACTTCCTACTCTCCCCCACGTGGGTTGGTATCTCTCCCACGTCGGGCCAGGACTCCTCCATTCCCCCGACGCTTTCGGCCACGCGCACAGAGTGTTGTCAAGTACCCCCGACCTCAGCAGTTGGGACCGTGAGGCTTCCCGAGTTCTAACCTCGAGCGGGGGGCTGTTGGGGACCCCGCGACTGCCGAGTTCTAACTCGGGGCCGGGAGGCTGGGACTCCGCGGTCGTCGGAGGTCTAACCCCGGACCGGACTGTCTAGCCAACGTAAGTTCTAAGCCCTCGCAGTCCAGTGAGTGACCCGAACCCAGAGTCTCCCGCTTCCCAGCCCCCGCGCCAGGAGCACGGACTCACCATAGCTGCGATTCCGCGGTCCCGCCACCCCTTGGAGCGCCGGCAACGTCAGAGCGGGAGCGCGCGCGCCTCTGCCGGAAAGTTGCGCGGGAGGGTGGAAATGGCCGCGAGCGGCAGGAAGCGGAAGTGACGCCACTAAAGCGGGCGGATCTCGTCCTCTAAGTCGCCCTATTACCGCGTAGGTTCTGGGAGAGGGCCTGTAATTTGCTATTTTTGTTTTCGTTATACTATAAATCTTTGGCAGGAACAATGAATTAAACTTGCGTACACACACGCACACACACCAACGGGTTTCAATGGTGTCATCGTTCCATTGCCTGTTTATCTTTGAGGACATTCTTGTGCTTTTAAAATCATCTTTTTGACCCTATACTGGTGAGGGAACGGTATGGAGATAAGATGGGTAATCCTAAATGTTTTCCTGCATATGTAGATACCCTTTTTCTCTTTTTAAAGATTTTATTTATTTGAGAGAGAGATAGCAAGAGAGCATAAGCAATAGGGAGAGGGAGAACCAGGCACCTTGCTCCTGAAGTGGGGCTGGATCCCGGCTGGATCCAGGACTCCGGGATCATGGCCTGAGCGGAAAGAAGATGCTTAACCAACTAAGCCACCCAGGCGCCCCCATATTTAGATATCCTTGTTAAAACACTGGTGAGAAATGTGAAGTCCACCAGAAATGGAATCCATTGAGTAGGGAATTCAGGAAGAAGAGCAGGTTGGGGGGTGAGGGTTGAGTTTCCGTCAGGTTGAGCTTAGAGATGTCATAGGACACCGACTTTCTTCTGCCCAGCATACTGCTCTTTTCTCTATGCTGCTCCAAATCTCCATTATTTAAAGCTAGACTCATGCCTCGCCACCTCCAAGAGTCCTTAGGGCCCTTACTCATTTCTCTCCTACATGATGCCAAACACATCTTGGGACTATTTGGATCTAGCCAAAACTAGACCATTATAGGCTAGTTCCAGTTAATCATTTTGGAAACCTAGAGTTAGAGCCCTAGCATGATTCTTTAGGAATCACGCAGCAATCTCTTCATTTTACAGCTACCAAGGCCCTGAGAAGGGAAGCTACTTGCCCACAGTCACAGAGTGAGGCAGTGGTTGAATCAGAACTGGGCCTTGGGATTTTGGCTATTGTCCCCGATTACTTCCACCACATCTGGCTGCTTTGCCTGAGACAAGTTGTGGTATGGGGCAACAGAATGGGTTTGAACTGCCTCCAGGACGGAACATGAATTACATAAAAAATGGCTCCATTGAACTTCACTTCATGCAAATCCTAGAAAATTTGTCAAAGAACAAAATTTGTCTCCAAATTAAGAAATGCCCACAGATGATTCCTGTGTAAGAGCAGAACCTGTGGTTTGGATTGTGCTGCTCACTTTTCAGATCCTGTTTATGTTTCCATATTAATGGAACCTACCAACCACCATTATTGGGGAATTAAACATTATTCCAATTTACAGTTATAGATGTGTCCTTATCACTTGATTTTTAGATATACTTTATAAACAATTTCCAGTTGTTACTTGGCTTACCTGGCACCTAGGACCATCATATCTCAGGTCTCCTCAGTAAAGACTAATGGGGACGTGAAGTTTTGAGTACTATGAGTAAGAGACAGCACATCTCACCTAATTAATTGTTTCCCAACTATATAATGACTCAGTTTCCAAATTCTCTTAAAGCTAGGTCACACTTTTGATTTTGTTGTTTCTCTTGCTAGTAAGTTCATAAATGTTGACATAAGCTCAATATCAATCCGTCTTATAAATTTGTCCTTTACCACACTTCTGTGCTTAAAAACCCAAGTCCTTTTCATGGCTTACTAGGCTCCTCTCCACCAGTCCCCACCTGCATCCCAATGATAACAGATGTACCCACCTTTTTTCTACCCCGAGAACACCCCAATTTCTCCAACCCCATCCATCAACCTTTGTTGAGAGGAATGTGCTCCACTGTTTTGCTAAGCTAACTTCAATTCATCACCTCTTCAGTGAAGCCTCCCTGATCACCCAGATCAGGTAACTGCCCCTGCCGGGTGGACCCACAGTCCTGTGTCCTTGCCTGTTACAGCACCTGTCAACATCGCCTTTATTCAGTGCCCACTTTTCCAACCACACCAAGAGCTCCATGAGAGCAGGTCTTGTAGATGCCTTGGGTACTTTGGATACCTATCTGCTGGCACTATGCCTGGCCCAAAGGTAGTGCCTGTTTCACTTAGGGATTTTTGCTGGCAAGCAACCAAAAAGGAGTTTGAGAAAAACTCTGTTGTGGAGCCCACAGATTCCACAGGAATTGGTTGTGAGAGCAGTAGCAGCCCTACAGTCTCACTCCACTGTCAGTGCCTTCCAGCCAAGGACTAGCAGGAACACACCTTATAATGTTATTACTTATTGCATCAAGGGAGAATGCACATTGTGGGCAATGATAGGCCTTCTCAATAAGAGGGTGTTGGGAAGGATTTACTGTAGGATTTATGTTGTAATAGGTGATTTTAGGGAGGGTTCAAGAAATTGAGGGGTTTGCTCTAGGTTAGATGCCGTCAGGCAGTGTGAATAATTCTGTGATTGGACATCTTTTTTTTTTTAAGATAGGTAGATATATATATTTATTTATTTATTTATTTTAGAGAAAGAGAGTGCATGAGCAGGGGGAGGGGCAGAGAGAAAGGAAGAGAATTTCAAGCAGACTCTCTGCTGAATGTGGAGTCCAATGCAATGCTCAATCTCACGACCCCGAGATTATGACCAGAGCCAAAATCAAGAGTTGGCCACTTAACCAACTCAGCCACCCAGGTACCCCTATAATTGGGTATCTTAATAATCTTATCTACAAGGCAGAAGGAATAAAGTGGGGCTAAAGCTGTAATTGATAAAGAAATAGCAGTCACTCATATTAGCCAGAAGAAGAGGAATTTGGTGATTTTTGTGGTTTCAATAATATTCATGTTTTTGTCTTTGTTCAGATGGGATTAAAGAGTGGTCTTGTTTTTGTCTTGATTATCATAGAGTGGTTTTGTCCGATGTTGATAATCTATGAAATTGTTTATACTGATCAGGAGAATACCAAGACCCAGCTGTGAGTGTCAAGGCATCTCCTAGCAATACCAAGTCTTAACTGGTAGAAACGGGCCAGTTCCTAGCTGTCACGGGCTGCTTTTCTTTCTTTTTTTTCTCACCAACTTCCTCTCCCCACCTTGAATCTCTGATCTTGATATTTAGAGCCCTGGCAGAGAAAGCCTCGTTGGCCAAGCTTAGGTCACACCTCCATTCCTTGACTGTCCTGGATCTATGAGAGAGTATCAGATATAAGCTGGAGTAACATTCAGCCAGAATACACCATGTGGGATACTGGGTTCTTAAAATAGAGAAATACATCCCAACTGGTTGGCAAGTAGGTGATGCCCCCTCCTGGGATGCTCAGGAACACTTATAATGCAGCTATTAAAGGGCTAAGGCCTGGCCCATCCAATTGACTGATGCCCTTTCCTACTCCACTATTCAATATTTTGAATATAACCTTTGGGTGAAAGACAGTGTTCAGGGTAGCATTTATTCCTTCCTCTACCAATCCTGAGATGGGAAAAGTAACCCCCAACAGAAAACCAGAATACTGTGAACAAAGAGGAAGGAATGCTGGGTGTTCAAACAAGAATACACATGTTCAATACAGTGTTCATTACTTAATGTTTGGTAGTGGATAGACAGATGGACACATGGATGAAAGTATCTGATGGGAAGAAAGAGATCATATAAACTGCAAGTTACATTACCCCATCACATAGGGAGAAATGTAATCTCTTCCCTCCAGAGGATGGGATATGTGAAACAAATTCTTCCTTTTAATTCCCTTCTGGGCAGTTTCCCAACGCTGTCCTTACCTGCACTAAGGGCATGTTAGCCAGCTCTGGTGCCAGGTTCAGGGGCTGGAACGGAGGCTGAAGCTCCTTTGTGAGGTAGCCTCAGTGACAGGAGTGCTGTGAGGCAGGGGTTACCTCATCCCAAACTGGCTGAGTCAGCCACACCAGTCCTGCCCTCCAACTCCCTAACACCACCTGCTCACCTAGGCTTTGTCATGTTGCTGCCACTGCTGGGAGCCTGTGCTGTGGTGGGGCCATTCCAGGGCCCTGAGTGGGAACCAGTGCAGGGCCTGCTCTCTGAGGATCGCAGCTGCAGGGACCCTCGGTGCTGTGGCAACCTGCTTGTGCTCTGCCTCTTTCTGATCTGGCAGGTCCAGCACTACTGGCACCAGGTCACAAGGACCCACACCAGCACGCGGAAGGTCATCAAGGTGAGGGGACCCCACACACCTCCTTCCCTCGGCACCAAGATTGTCTCATTCACTTGTTATGAGGACCCTGTTCTATGCCCTATACCAGAGATAAATCACAAGGGAGCTTAAGACTGGTCAGGGAGAGCATCACCAGACCCCAGAAACCACCAGTCACCCTGGTCCCTCTCCCTCATTCCACACACTCAGTCCATCTACAAGTCCTATTGGCTCTACTTGCAAACCACATCTCAAATCTGATCACTTCTAGAAAACTCACTGCTGCCCCCTGGGCAAACCCTCCCTCATTATCTCCCCTACACTGTATGTAGCACTGTCTTCTCTCATTCCTGTGGCCTCTCTCATCCAAGCACAGACGATGTTCCACTCAGCCAACAGGATTATCTTCTTTCTTTTCTTTTCGTTCTCTTCTCTTTTCTTCTTTCTTTCTTTCTTTCTTTCTTTCTTTCTTTCTTTCTTTCTTTTTCTTTCTCTTTCTCCCTTAAAATTTTAATTCAGGGATAATACATGTACATAGACCACATGTGTATAGATCAATGAATTTTCACAACTGAATACATCCATGTGCAGCACCCAGCCCAGAAGCTTGCAGTCACAACTATGCTGATTCCTAATAACATGGACTAGTTTTGCCTGTAGGATGATGCCATGTGGTAGGTATTCCTTTGCACCTGACTTAAAATCATGCTTATGAGCAAGAACCAACTTTTCAAAATAAATCATACCACTTTGCCCCTCAAAACCCTGCAACAGCTCCTACAGGTACACTCCCTGTCAACTCAGAAAAAAATTCAAACTCCTAACCTTAAGTCCAAGGCCCATCATGGTCTGTCCTACATTTCTCTCTGACCCCATCTCCCAGCACACTTTTCATTACCTGTTCCATTCTGGGCATAGGGTCCCTTGATGTTCTTATACACATGACCTTGTTCTGATCTCAGGACCTTTGCACTAACATCTTGCCTATCATTTCATTCAGGTTTCCAGTCAAATGTCACCTCCTCTGAGAGGCCTTCTATGACCAGTCTGTCTAAGGGAGCTAGTCCCATACCCAGTCTACTTTTATTTCCACCAGAACACTTTTCAATACTTAACATGTTGTATACTTGGTTATTGTGTCTTCCATGTCTGGAAGATAGCTCCCAACAAGGACTTTAGTCTTGTTCATGCTGGTAACCCCAGCATCTAGAATAGTGCCTGGTCTGGAGTAAACTCTTTGTCTTTCTTAAATGAATGCCCTAAGGGAAGTGATTCCCTCTTTTCTGAGCCCAGTATCCTCATCTGGATAATGGACATTGTAATTCTGATCTGTGAGAATTAGATGAGACAATGTGTGAGCAAAGATTTTGCTTCTTCATTCTAAACCACAGGTGACACAGCAGAAGTGGACAGTGCCCTCCGTGAGACATGACACTTGCTTCAGGATGACCCCTGAATTCTTCTTCAGTCCTGATAATTTCAACGACCTGGATGCTCATGTCCAACAATGGGTACAAAAGAAGAGACAGGAATACCGAAGGGGCCTCCAGGAATCATGGACCCAACACCTGCTCTCTTGGCAACACCCATTTCAGGGCCCACCTCGGGATTTCCAAACACCTGTTGAGCCCTTCTTTTGCACCACCTCCCTTTCAAGCACCTGTATGATCCCCCAGGACAGTTCTCGGGAAGCATGGCAGGTAACCTGGTGTCTCAGTGATGAGCAGACTCACCTGATTTGCAAGTCACTATTCCCTGCCCTGGACCGGTACCAAAGGATGGAGCAGCTGCTGGTCCACTCCCAGGAAGAGTTGGTGCCACTGGAGCCTGTTGTCAGCCTGAGATCTCACCTCACATCCAGGATTTTAGCTACCTCTCTCTCAAATCTCCCTTCATCTCAGAGGCTACAGTTCTGCTCCAGAGACTTCTTACCTGATCCTTCCATCCAACAAGTGAGAATGTCCACCTGGAAGTCCTGGGGATGCCCACAAGAGGCCTGGGTACCAGGGAGGGAAAACCAGATGCTAGGCAGGGAGGCTCTAGGGTGGGTGAACCAGACAGAGAGCAGTGGGGAGGATGCTTGGGAGATTCAGGCAACTGGAAGGCAACTCCCAGTGAATTTCAAGATGGAGGATGGTGCAGAGACTAAGGTCCTGGCATGGAGAAGTAAAAAACTAGTAATAAGTAAAACCGATGGAGATATCCTGACATCAGGGTCAAAGAACCAGGACGAGATGGGAATTGAGAATAGAGCCGAAATTCAGGAACTAGGGAACAGAAACGAGAGGGAGGCTGAAGGTAAGAATCCTCCTGGAATCCAGGCACATATAGCAGAGCACCAGGAACAGTTAAGATGTAAAACTGATGCAGAGACCCAGACACCAGAATGGGGGAACCAAGAGAAGAGTAGAGATGAGGATGCTATAGTTACCCAGGCACTTGAGAAGAACAAGAAAGAGGCCAGAGGAGAGGATGAAGGAGAGGCCAAGGCCCAAGAATTGGAGAAGCAGGACCAGAGTAGAAGTGAGGATGGTGAGGAAAGCCAGGTGTCAGGATGGGGAAAACAAGACGAGATTCAAGATGATACTGGCATAGAAATTCAGGCACAGGAGAGGAGAGACAAGGCCCAGGTTGGAGGTGAGAATGATGTGCAAACCCAGGTACTGGGGAGGGAGAACCTGGGAGAAGTAACACAAGAGAAAGGTGTGGAGACCCAGGCCCTGGGGTGGGAAAAACAGGAATGCGCTAGACATGAGAATGTTATAGGGACTCAGACCCCAGGACGGGGAAAGCAGGATCGGGGTGGAAGTGAGAAATCTGAGAAGATCCAAGCATCTAAGGAAGAGATCTGGAAACAACTAAGACACGAACTTCTAGTGGGGTGGAGAAACCAAGGCCTGAGAAGGGGGGAGGATGCTGGAGAGACCCAGATCTCTAGAAGGAAGAACTTCAGGGAGATAAGAGAAGAGGACTGGGTGGTGATCCGGGCGCCCTGGTGGGGAAACAAGAGACTAGTAGCAAATAAAATTGACAAAGACTTTGAGATACCATGTTGGGGGGCATCTGGACCGGAGTGGAAGTGAAATAGACAGAGAATGCAAGATACCATGTTGGGGGAATCAGATTGGAGGTGAACTTAGGGCAGAAACTCAGGCAACAGAGAAGAGAAATCAGAGAAATGATGGAGAAGAAGATGGTACAAATACCCTGGCTCCTGAGGCAGAGAACCAGGGACAATTAAGACATGAAACTCTTGTAGACACCCATCCACCAGAGAGGAGGAACGAGGATCAGTTTGGAGATGATAATAGAATAGACATTCAGGCACTAGGGAAGAGAAATCTGAGAGGGGTTAACGGTGAAGTTGGTAAAGAGACCCAGGAACTTGGGGAAGAAAACCAGGGTCAGTCAAGCAGTAAAATTAATGGCAAGATTCATACATCTGAGTGTAAGAATCAGGAATACATTAGAGGCAAAGATGGTGCAAACAACCAGGCATCTGAGCCTGAAAAGAGGAGAGAATTAACAAGTAAAGTTGATGGAGAAACTCATTCAGCAGAATGGAAGAAAGAGGAGCAGGTTGGGGGCGAGATAGGTGGAAACACCCAGGCATCTGAGACTGAAAAGAGAGGAGAATTAACAAATCACATTGATGGAGAAGCTCATTCAGCAGAATGGAAGAAAGAGGAGCACGTTGGAGATGGGAATGGTACAGGAATTCAAGCTCCAATAAAGACAAGCCAGAGAGAAGCTGTAGTTGAAGATGATACAGAGACCTGGGAACATGGAGAAGACGACCAGAGCCAGGTAAAAGGTGTTATTGATAGAAAGATCCATTTATCAGAGTGGAAGAACCAGGAGCAGACAGGAGGTGAGAATGGAACAAAAATTCAGGCTGGAAGTGAGGATGCTGTAGAGACCCAGAGGCCTGAGAGAGAGAACCAGCAACAGTTAGATGGTGGAACTGGGGACAGTCACTCACCAGGGAGGAGCAATTGGGAGCAGAGGGGAAAGGAGGAGGAAAATCAGACATTGGGGAAGAGACGTCAGAGAGAAGCTAGGAGTGAGGGTAGTGGAAAGACCCAAGGACTTAGCGGAGGTTCCTGGAGATTGATAGAAAGCAAAGCTGATGAAAAGAGCTGTTCATCAGAGTGGACGAACCAGGAGCAGATGGGAGGTGAGAATGGTGCAGACACTGAAATACAAGGGAAGAGAAACCTGAGAGAGACCACAGGTGATGATGGTACAGAGGCCCAGGCTCCAGGGGGAGATTACCAGGGACATGTAAGAAGTGAAGTCGATGGAGAGATCCAGATACAAGAGCTGGGGAACCAGGACAAGGATGGAGATGAAGACGCTGCAGAAATCCAAGATGCTGGGAGCCAGAGAGAGTGCAGAGCTGAGGAGGCTGGAGGACCTCACATTCCAAAAGGAGGAAATGAGAAGCAGGTCAGAGGAAAAGATGTTGCTAAAGACAATCTCCCAGTTGACTCTTCTGGGGGCGAGGGGCCTGGACATGAGGCCATGGAACAGCAACAGGCAGTGGCCTCTGCTCCCTGTCCTGAGCTGAAGCCTCTCTCCAGCTGCAGTCAACTCTCCCTGCATGCCAGTGCGGAGGGAGAGCATATGGTCAGCCAGAGCATGGCCTTTGCCAAGAAGCACAGAGTGAGGGTCAGGCTAGCCTCCCAGCAGGCCCCACCTGAAGCCCTGACAAGCCGACAAAAGGATAAAAGGGTGGATCCAGGGAGGACTTCTGGCTGGATGCGGCAGCTCCAGAACTTACACTCTGGAGAACTTCTGGCTGCTCCCCCGGGCCTGCCCTCTGCCCGCCCCTCTGTCACATGTCGCCAAGCCTCCCAAGCTGCCGCAGCTCTGGTGGGTGCTCCCACTGCCCTCACTGTCCCGCCCAAGTGGCCAGTCCTCAAAAAGAGCCAACAGCTCCTCTTGGAGTCCCTCATGCGACGGAAGATTGCACACCTGAAGTGGGGCCTCCCCAAGCGGATCCTGGAGTCCCATTTGCTCTTTAACAAGTTAGGACCATGCCCTCTACCCCGTGCGGGGATGAGGCTCCCTGGATTGTACACAGCCCGTGAGCTCCAACGACAGCAGGGAACGCACTGTGAGGCCCAGGGCTGCAGGCCAGTCCTCAAGTCAACTGAGAGATCCCAGAGAGTTCAGCCCCCAGAAAGAAAAAGCTCAAAACTTCCTACTCGGGCCAGGGCTCTAGAGAAATGTGGGTCACATGGGTGCGAGTCCATGGGCATTTCCATCCATTCTGAGAAGCCTGGAAGAGTCTGGCCACCAGGAGGCACTAGAGAACCACGGGACGTGCCGGAAAAGGCTCCTAGAGCCAAGGCTGCTGCCACTTACAGGAACTCCAGGCCCGCAGCACAGTCTAGGAGCTGGTGTGGCCAAGAGCCTTCCAGTGAGAACAGCAGGGACAGGAAAGTGGTCAGGCCAGGAGTCTCCCAGATGGCAGAGATGGCTCCCTGCAAAGTAAGGACCTCATATTCCAGGGCAGGCCATGATGCCTGGAGGAAGGAGCGCATACCCCAGGAGGCCCCTAAGCTCCCCAGACTTAAATGTCAGCAGCCCACACATGGGAGAAGAGAAAGCCTGGAGGCTGCAGAGGGCAGTGGGGCTGGGCAGCAGCCTTCCTTCCATTTCACAAATACCTCCAGCTTCAAACGTAATTTCCACTCTGCTGCAGCAAGGTTGAGCGTGACCCTTTTAAACAAGATATCCTGGTCCCCACACCGGGCCAAGCCTCAGCACTCAGCCCCCAACCTGAGCCTGCGGGATCCTGATCCCACCCTGCTTTCCAAAGTGAGTGACCAACATACAAGGGAGGACAGCCCTGGAGTCTATATTTCTCTGAAGACAGACCTTCAGCCGCCAAGTCATTCCCGTGCTGAGGCCGTTCTTCCCAAGACAAAGTGCTTCCAGGGTCAGGGGGAACCTGAGAACATACATGGATCCCTGAAGAATCCATCAGCCCCCCAAAAGTTTGGTTTAATGAAGCATTTGAGATGTTTTCTGCTCCAGCTTGGCTTTAGAAAGTAGGCTGCAGGCCCAGGGTCCTCAGAACACATAAGAGAAGGCATGAGTTGTCTGCTCACCCTCAAAGCTTCTAATAAAATTGGTTATTTGGGCCCTGTGGGGTTCTGCTATTTCTGGCACATGTTTTCTGAGTATCCCCTTTTGGAGGCTGGGATACTTTGTAGGTGGGGTAGAAGCCAGTGTACGCTGTGGTATTGAAGGTTTTGGGAATGTGGGTCAACCCAATGTCGTCATCTCCTAAACACATTTCCTTTCCCTAGCTCCTCACAGTAGGGTATACTGAGGTTTCTATCATGGCTCTGTCCTGTCCTGGTACAGGCTAATTCTGATTGAGGTGGGGTGCTCACACTGTTTGGGGAGGGGGGTTGCTCTGCACTGGACACTGATATGCAAGTCTTTTGGTCACAAGGAAGGAAACTGATTATGGTGCATTCCCCCAGCTGGAACTCTGCTGTCCATGAACATACTTCATGGAAAAGCCATTCCCCCATCCACTTCTCAAGCACTGTCAACCATAATTACTTGTTGCCTTGCTTGTCTCACCAATGGGACATCCTGGTGATTATTTGTTTTAATCAAGCCTGAAGCTTCTGAGCCAAAAGACATGTCTTATGATACTTCTATAGACAGCTTCAACATGTGGAAGTGGATCCTATATCCTATATATCCATGAAAGCTGGAGTTGAGAATTTAATCCAGGTTTTCTCCTTCCCTCTCCTTTATCCTCCCTCCCTTCTTTTTTTTCCTCCCTTCTTTTCTTACCTTTCATTTAGTTTTCCTATTCATTGTAAAACCCATACATGCTCATTGAAGGAAGTTTAAAAAATTCAGAAAAGGAAAAATAATCCATAATCTTATTACCCAGTTACTGTGTTGATGGTTTTCTTGCTACACATTGCTACCTGTATGGTGTTTTTTTTTTTTTAAGATTTTATTTATTTATTTGACAGACAGAGATCGCAAGTAGGCAGAGAGGCAGGCAGAGAGAGAGGAAGCAGGCTCCCCGCCGAGCAGAGAGCCCGATGCGGGACTCGATCCCAGGACCCTGGGATCATGACCTGAGCCGAAGGCAGAAGCTTTAACCCACTGAGCCACCCAGGTGCCCCCTGTATGGTGTTTCTTATAGCAATTCATGCCTACCTCTACTACAGCACTTACATTGTGATAGGCAGGCTTTCTAAGAAGGTTCCCAATGCTCCCTACCTTCCAGTATCCTTGCCCTTGTATATTCTCTCCTTGAGTGTGGATTGGATCTAGTGGGTCGCTTCTGACAGCTAGGATACAGCAGGCATGATGGAATGTCACTTCGGAGAAAAGGTTATAAAGTCTGTAGCTCCATCTTGGGCATTTCTCTTGTTCCCTTGCTTGCTCCCTGAGGGAACTCACCCTCCATGTTGTGAACTGCCCTAAGGCGCATATGGCAAAGCACCGAGGAGAACACTGGAAAACAGTTGTCAAGAAAGGGAGGTCCTCGCTTAGCCTTCGAGGAGCTGAATCCTGCCACCAAGCATGTGAGCGAGCTTAGAAGCAGATCCTTCAGCCTTAGAGATGACTACAGCGTTGTGAGATGACTACAACCTTGTGAGAGACTTTGAACCAGGGTCACTTAGTTAAGCTGTTCCTGGATTGCTGGTGCACATAAACTATGAGATCATCCAGGTTTCTTATTTTAAGCTGCTAAGTTTTGGGGGCTTATTAGTTTTCTATGGCTATTGTAACGAGTTACCACAAACCTGATGGCCTAAAACAACTTCTGGGGGCCAGAAGTTTGAAATCAAGATGTCAGAATGCCCTCTGAAGGCCTTGAGGGCAATCAGTTCTTGCTTCTTTCCAGCTTCTGGTGGTTGCAGAAGCTGGAAAGAAGCTGCCTCTTCCTTTTACTTTGTGGGTCTCTTCTCAAGACACTTGTCATTGGATTTAGGGCCCACTCTATACTCCAGGATGATCTCTTAAGATCCTTGACTTAATCACAACTGTGAAGATACTTTTCCAAACAAGGTAACATTTACAAATTCTGAGGATTAGGGTGTTTCATAAATCTGCTCTGGCTGCTGTAACAAAATACTAGAGACTGGGTGGTTTAAACAACAGAAATGTATTTTCTCAAAACTCTGGAGGGTAGAAGTCCAAGATCAAGGTTCTGGTTGATTCAGTTTCTGGTAAGAATTTTCTTCCTGGTTTGCAGATGGTTGCTTTCTCACTGCGTCTTCACATGGCCTTTCCTTGGCACATGTAAACTGAAAGAGGTGAGAGATCTTTCTCCCTCTTTTAAAAGAAAAATTTTATTTTTAAGTAATCTTTATACCCAATGTGGGGCTCGAACTCACAGCCCTAAGACCAAAGTTCACATGCTCTAATGACTAAGACAGCCAGGTGCCTCTCTCCCTCTTCTTATAAGGTCACCAATCCTGTGGCACCAGAGTCCCACCCTTTCAATGTTTTTTAACTTTAAATACCTCTTAAAGGCTCTCTTTCCAAATACAGTCACATCGGGGGTTAGGGTTTCAACATCTGAATTTGGAGGACACAACTCAGTCCAGAGCAGATACGGAGATATATTTTTGAAGGTCACCATTCAACCCATTACATGGGGTCATTTGTTATACAGAAATAGATAACTAACACTGTATTGCAATAATTGATCATCTGCTTCCTTGACTAAACTTGAGGACGAGAATTGTCTTGTTCACTTTTGAATCCTCCAGCTCCTAGCCCAGTTTCTAGCTCAAAACTCTGTCAAAAAGAATACATAGTTTGTTGACATTTTAAAAATATACAGGATAATATTTAATGATATGGAAGACATATATATCTTTTTCTCTGGAGGAAGCAGTTCACAAACTTTGTATGATACTGTTGTAAAAATGTGTAGACTTGGGGCTCCTGAGTGGCTCAGTGGGTTAAGGCCTCTGCCTTTGGCTCAGGTCATGATCTCAGGGTCCTGGGATTGAGCCCCACATGGCATCGGGCTCTCTGCTCCACGGGGAGCCTGCTTCCCCCTCTTTCTCTGCCTACCTCTTTGCATACTTGTGATCTCTCTCTGTGTCAAATAAATAAATAAAATCTCTTTAAAAAAAAACATTTAAAAATGTGTAGACTAAAAGAAAATATACCAAAATATTATTTTTCTTTCATTGTCTTCACTGAATATGTACTACTGCTATAATGTATTTAAAATATGATGAACGGGGCGCCTGGGTGGCTCAGTGGGTTAAGCTGCTGCCTTCGGCTCAGGTCATGATCTCAGGGTCCTGGGATCGAGCCCCGCATTGGGCTCTCTGCTCAGCAGGGAGCCTGCTTCCTCCTCTCTCTGCCTGCCTCTCTGCCTGCTTGTGATCTCTGTCTGTCAAAAAAAAAAAAAAAATCTTTAAAATATGATGAACAAATGTTGTTTACTTATTTATTTTACATACTTTATATATAATTCTGCATCTTCTGTGCGCAGAATTTTAACGAGAACTAGTCCATGTTAACACCTACTCTTCTCAAACATTATTTCATAACGCTACATTGGACAATAAATCCTTATTTTCTGAACTATTTTGCTATGGAATAATTTTTTTGCACGCAGTGACACTGCTTCTGAATGTAGAAAACACCTCGTGAGCTTACCTCCTTCACCATTAGCCAGTTGCTGGACACTCAGATGCTAAATAAATCCTTGTAGATGGATAGACTGTTACTGCTAATACATGCAACGATGAACGATTTTTCCTTCTGCAGTGCTTCTTGCGCGCTCACAAAGTCTCAAGTGCCGTGCAGCCGTCTGTGAAAGGGCATCTTAAGGGAAACGTCTTAGACTCTTCGAGAAAGGGGTCACGTAGAGTTAAAAAAATACAGCTTTTAGATCCCTGAGATCGTTTACGTTTTTAATAGTAGATTACTTCCTTTCCTTCCTTTCGCAAGGCTAATGAAAGCTTCTTTATAAATATTTTTCAACCTATAGCGCGGTGAAGGCAAACGCCTACGAACTCAATGAGCAAACTGGTTGTCCTTTGCGGGACACTTGTGAGTCCTCGCACCTACCACACGCTCTCAAAGGCCGCTGTTCGCGCGAGATTGCTCGCGTGAAGATTGCGTAGCACTCAGTTGCGCACGCGCGTTACTCCCCCATCCCCAGCGAAGGGAAAGGGGCTCTTTCAAGTGCGCTTGCGCACACGCTGCGCGGGAAAAGGTGGTGGAGATATGTCTGTGAGGGACGCGGCGGTAGGCCTTCCTGGGCCTGGGAGGGACGAGGACACGACGCTGCTCTTCGAGAGGGCCCATTACAGGCATGACCCGTGCTGGCTGCTGCCCGTGCCCCCACGCTTCTGTCTGGCCTGCATGGTGGAGCTGCTGCCGGAGCCTTGCGTATCGGTAGGAACAGAGGCTCCGGCATTTTCCTCACCGAACAGCCTTACCTCGCCAGACCGACTCCCTAGAACCTGACGCACCTTCCCTACACCGGGCCCAGCCGCTTCGTTAACTTGACCCTGTAAGCGGGCCTGCTCCCTTGCTAGGCCGGAGCTGCCTTCTTTGCTGTACTATCCCAGCCTCAGTTTACCCTGCAGGCCGTCCTGCTCGGGGCAGAGGGCCGCTTTCCAGACTAGCCCCTGCGCCTGGCTCTGGACCTCACCTGGGCCTATTCCTGTCCGCTAAGCCCGCCACCCCTCCAGGACG